TATATAAATAAATAAATTAAATACTATATCATTCATACTAAAACACTGATTGTTAGTAGATGCTACTTTCACAAAAATCATAAATATAATTTTTTATAAATATGTTTTTACCTTTTTCTTAGTCCAGGATCTCTTTGATGCACCAGCAGCAGAGCAGGAAGTAGAGACACTCTTTAAGAGACTGGATAACTCCATAACCCACATTCCCTCCCAGCAGGTTCTTGCCAAGGCCCATCCTCAGAGCTGCATCTCTCAGGTTTTGGCCCAGTGAGGAGGGCATGGCCTGGGGCAGCGGATGCTGTGGATGCATCTCCCGCCACCGCTCCACGGTCGACTGGAGAGCGTGAGCGATACTCGAAGGGAGGAACTGGAGGAGAGCGGGCCAGGTCCTGGTTTGCCGCTGCGCGTTGTGGGTCTCCACTTTTTCCTTCAACCGTAACGTCTCTTCAGATGAAACCCTGGAGCGAACTGACTCCTGTGTGTTGTGGGATACACAGGCCCAGTGCCCCCAGTAAAACAGATTTTATTCAGCTCTGGAAAATGCCAGCTAGCTGTTCACCTCCTATTGCACAATGGCCTCACAGCATCTCTCATCTACCTATTGTTCATCTCTAATTCCTCTACTGTGCAGTGAAAGGACCTGAATGACTGTCAAAATATTCACGCACAGTGTGCAACCAAATACAGACTTTGTCATTTTTTCCTGTTATAATATTATGAGTGTCAAAATGAATGATTTACAGGATTAATCTTAAAGAAGAACAATCACAGCAATAAGATTCTGAGATTTGGGGTCACAAATAGCAAATGAGCAATAGATTTATGCTTATTAATGAACTTAAAACAGATCTAGATTTAAAAAAAATTTGGTAATAGGCAATAGGTGAAATGAAACGCACCAAGAAAGGTGAATGATATATGTATTTATATATGTAATCTATCATTTGATACAGGTGATATTACAACATCTAAAGAACAACAACATAAAAAGAATAATTAAAATAATCAAAAACATGTATTTAAAAAAAGAAGCAACATTTATATAGGCAAACAAGAAAAAGGCATTTGGCTTAGAAAATAGCAACCAACCAACAACACAAAAGTCACCATTACCACAATAACAGGAAGGGTTTCCATGCAACAAAAGGCCGCTGTGAAATATGAAAATGAGCAAACGGTTTAGTGGCGAGTCAGAGTTGTAAAAGCCAGATTATTCCAGACCATTCCAGCCCTGCCTATGTATGCATCCACACACACACACAGACTCATAAACACACTTTGTTTAAACTCCATTAGCAGTTAGTGGCCAGATCTGTGGTGATATCAGCACAAAAAAAGTCTGACGTCAAATGATTAAAAAACCCATTCAATGCATTCATATGAATTACATCAGGCTACAATTCACATTAGCATGAAGGCTGGTCGTATACAGTTGCGGCTGGGATCCATCTGGATTTATAATGTGGAATGAATGTTGACCGTTGACTCAAAATCCACAAGTTACATCCATTAAAAAGCCTAAAAATAAAACCGTTGCTCATTTCAGATTCATAATGCATCCAGATTAGGGTCTTTGTACATCTAAGCAAATCCTCATTCATTTACATAGATTTGTGTGATAAAACACAAAGTGATTGCATTGTCTTCAGAAGAGCATGTCAGATCTTACACCTTTATGTTTTTTCACCCAGTACAATCCTGTGAGCTTGCAAATTCTCATTTGACACAGATCCACAGTGAATGACTGGTTTTAGACCGCTATGAGCATAGGCAAAGCTTATTTACATGTTCTTTTACAGGGCATCTAATGTCGGTTTCTAAATGAGATATAGAGGGTGTTTAAACAACACAATGCGATACCCACAGACCAGCACTAAACTAAGCACAGTAAGAACAGCATCGCAGAATTAACGTGCCAAAGAAAACGAAGACCTGCACTGAGCCTCACTAAACTTGTGTCGTTTTTGCAGTTGATTATCTTTTCAGTTGTGTTTTTTCCAGAAAAGAAAGTGTCATGATTACCTATAGAATCACAAAAGGCGACTGTGTGGTTTTTTTTTTCTCAGTGTGTCTGTGTTTGGTAAAAAAGGCACAATCAATATCAGAGCAAACAAAGATGAAATAAGTGGTTTCCCGTTTGTGGCTTCAACAGAAACTGCACTTGTGGCTGCAAAGACACGTTCAGAATTCCTTCAGAGTGCTTTTCCTCTACCTGGATGGTGTGTCCCCTTGCAATCGATGTCGTTCAAGTATTATAATACACAACTTATCCTCCTCCTTACGCTTTCTCTTTTAACTCGAACGTACAGAAGCAGCTGACACCTCGATACACGTGAAGATCGATTGTCAATGCGAGCAGAAGTAATGTCCACAAGAAAAAGATAAAGAAAAACAGAGCCTCCATTTCCCAGAATAAACCCATTCGGATGATGTCGTCAGATGACATCACTGCGACAGAAACTCTTAGTTAAAATGACATCATAAGAAGGCTTCAATCAGATCTCAAACCACAGACCTTCAGTCCTATTCCCATGTGTACTGATTGCACTTCATTTTTTTTTCTCGTCCCTTTTGTCCCAGGCTGATATATGATGTTATGTGGAAAGAGAACGTTCCCTTTTTCCACAGACTAGTTTGTTGTCTCTCATAACAAGTCTTATTTGCATAAGGAAAAATCCACACAGCATCCTAAAGCTTTCACATATGTTCAGGGGTCTTCCCAAATGACCAAAATTCCCAATTTTTCTTGGGGATCACACTCGGAATTCTGTAAAGGGTATTGTGTGGTTGAGAATAAGAGGCATTTTGTGTGGTCTCCCTTGGCGGGAAAACTGGGAAAGTGATATTCCGGTGGGAATTGCGCATTCGCCGTGAAAGATGACGTCTGTGATTGGAGAATGAGCTCTGTATTCTCTTTAAAGTTTTGCATATACATCAAACAGTCTCGCGAGATTTCCAAACAACCGCAACAGTACGTAAGCTCTACGATCAATATGAAGCTCGAGTCTTTGGATTTCGCCCATTGCACCAGATGTGAATCTTTAGAGTGCTACAAAGGTTCTGCAATTTTAGTACATTGACAGCAACTCTCGACTCGAAGAATGGTCGGGCCTGTTGCCATGGTTACAGGTGCACCCCAGTCTTAATTCAAGACATGATGTCGTGTTTGGGAAGTGATGTCACATCCATTACACATCTGCTTCTCTTTCAGACGCCTCATCGTTTGGCTTTTTGTAATCACTTATTTCAAGCGACGTGTCCTTTAGTCCTTGAGTAGAATGATTGCATTGCTTTGTAATTTCATGGCCGGTGGTTGATGCGGTACAAAATTCTGTGTTTCTGTGAAGATATGATTAGCTTACACTCCCAGTTGGAAAAACGTTTTTTTCTCTAATAGTGTCTGGCAAAAAGTAGGAAAGGGAGGAGTTTTTTTCTCTTAAATGTGCGGTGGAGAAAATTGTTATTTTTCAAGCACGGCGATCAACTGGCTGCTGCAGACACACCTCACTTCCTGCCGAGATGATTGGCAGCCGGTTGTCCATGTGATAGCTAATCAAGTGACTGACGCTCTCAAAGCGGTGGTCTTTGGTGCGCACCTATGACGGTAAAAAAAATGGTAAAGAATTATGTTTTGATAGGGGCAAAATATTGAGAGTGTGGTGTATTTTATCATATTACTCACCACTCCCTCTGGATCCACCAGAAGCAGGTGTTTAGGTTGGCCGCCCTGCTGTCCAGTGAGGACGTACTGGCCTGGTGTGGTGCCTGACTCCCGCACCAGGAAGTCTCCATCCTTGGTCAAGAGTCTTTCGGCCTGCCTGCGGCTTAGAGGTCCGTGGAACCAGGGCTCGTTCTGCAGCTGCTCTGCCAGAGGGGGCGCCACTGCACCCGACACTCCTAAAGCAGCATCAAACGGCTCTAAAAGATAGAGAGCACAATACTGTTGTATTTTTGGACAATTTACTGTTATTCTATAACTGCACCTACAACTGAACTAGAAAAAAGTACAGAAAACCCAAATGTTCTACAACTCATCTAAAACATATAAGGAATCTCCTTAAAGAAAATGTGAAAATCTGGGCAATATATTGATATGTATCAAGTGTTAGGAGTTGGTAAAATCCATTAATTTATTATTAATCAGTTTAAACTATCTGAATTAATCAAAACAATCAATCAAAAACATTTTTTTGCACATAACTCAAAAACGTATGGAATTTGTATTAACACTAGAACCGGCAGAGGTCGCTGTATACCTAAAAGGGCCAGTGGGTAAATTTTACCCACGCACATGACAATTGTTTTTATATGGCTAAAGAACATATTATTTCACTGGATTATGCCACTGTCTTCACAAAGAAGTGTCTAGAGTCATGAAATGATTGTCTAGTCATCAACTATATTTTTATCCTATTGTTTTTATGTTCAAGACTTTTTTTAATGCAGGCTACAAATCCATAACGGTCAGTAGCCCAAGCTAAAAAAAAAAAAAAAAGCCTGCACTGACAACGGAAATTAGAAGGTAGTAGCCTAAATATTTGGGTGGTGTAATATTATAATACAATGTCATTAATCAATATATTAAGATAACCCATGGTATTTAAATTACTAAAATAGCCTATAGACAATAATGAGCAATAATAATTCACCACACTGCATAGGATGATGCGATGACAAATTCAAGCACACAGCTTCACCTAAATATTTATTAATTTGTTTAGTTATATAATTTATAATTTGAATAAGAGAACAACACCATTAAACTTTGGTCATATAGATCGGATTCATTTTTTTTCTTCAGGAAACAGCCAGACTAGAATAGCAACACAGTAGCCAACAATAAACGATATGGCAAGACAAAAAATAAATAATTAAACCAAAGTTTGACCAATTAGAGTAACGTGAGGCTAAAACATGTAAATATGATATCTGGATCGCCATCAGATGCTGAGTCGACCCAGGACGCATAACTTACCATCAGACTCTCCATCACTCATGGCATTTAGTTTTTCTAATTCCTACCTTCCATAAATCGCCTTTTTTTAGTCATTTTGACTTTATTTATGAAACTGATAACCGCTAAATCAGTGAGTGAAAGGCGTTGCCTAGAAATGTACAATGTTAAAACATAAGCGGCAAGAAAATGACAGCGCGAAAATACAGGCATTATATAGCGGGTAAATTTGACCCGCTGGGGCTTTTAGGTATAAATGCCCCGTTTTTTGATCTGGTTTTATCTAAATAATTTTGAACAACATTGGATTGTAAATTACATCATTTTAGTAAAAGTCAATGACTGGGAGACTTGAATGTTTTATTTTAAATCTTTTATGTACATTTGAAAAACAGCCACGGGAAAAATGTACCCCGTGGCGGTTCTAGTGTTAAGTGTATTAAAACATTTTAGTAAAAATATACTGTACACTACTGTTCAAAGATTTGGGGTAAGTAAGATTTTTTTTTTTTGGAAGAAATTAATACTTTCATTTACCAAGGATGCATTAAATGGATCTAAGTGACAGTAAAGACTTTTTGCATTTCACTTACAAATAATTT